AGGCCTGGGGGCCGGCTTGTTTGCCCTGAAGGGTGTCCCGGATCAGGGTGGGGGTCCCCACTGGGGTGCCTGGCCAGCCTGGATGAGGTGATGATGGCTGTTTGCAGCTGGTCACACACCCTTCAGGGTGGGGGTCCCCACTGGGGTGCCTGGCCAGTCTGGGTGAGGAGCTGAGGGCTGCTTTCAGTTTGGCAGTTGACTGAAGCTCCCAACCGCTCCTTTTTTTCTTTTTTCTTTTTTTATTCTGGGCCAGCTTTAGCTCTGGCTCTAGCTCTGAGGCTTCCGCTGCTGAAAGAAGCTATCTGGTTTGTTTGCGTTCTATAATCAAAACAATGTATAACTCCAGCTCTGAGATCCCAGCCCGCTGAAAGCTGGTTTCTGGGGTTTTGTTTAGCTTCTTATTTGCAACATAGTACATAGTTTCTTAGAGTTGAAGCTCAGAGGCCTGCAAGTCAGGCGGGGAACGTTGGAGTCTGCAGTCACTGAAGCAAGCAAGCCTCATGTTCGCTTCCAGCTGCCTGGCTGCCGGCCGCCATCTTGGCTGACAGTTAATTTGCATAAGGATATGCTGATTAGCCAATGGGAAGGGTAGCGGTCGTACGCTAATTACCATGTTTCTCTTTTATTAGTGTAGATGTTTGCAATGAAAGAACTATAGAGATAGAGATCAGATTAGTGGGTGCAAGGGCACAGGGATAGAGGAGATAGTGGAGTGCAAGCATAAAAGGATAGCTCCAGGGATTCCTTTGTTCCTTTGGGATTGATGGATGCCTGATTGTGGTGGTGGATATACATACGAATCTGTACATCTCTGTTACATAGAACTACACATACACAAATGCATGCATTACGAAATAGTGAAAACTGAATAAGGTTGGTAGTCTGGTTAACATTCTATCAATGCCAGTTTCCCAGTTTTGATATTGTACTACAGTTACATGAGGTGCCAGCATTGGGGGGAGCTGGGTGAGGGGTACATGGAACTCAGTGTATTATTTCTGCAGTTTGCCTATGGGTCTATCATTATTTCAAAATAAAATGGTTTTTTGAAATTGTCAGTTTATGTTCATGCATTGTTTTATCTTATTGCCCCTCTGTTTTTCAGGGACATGTTGTCTTAACAGATTTTGGGCTTTGTAAAGAAGGAATTGCTATTTCTGATACCACAACGACATTTTGTGGAACACCAGAGGTAAGAAGGATGTCTCATTTGTCATTCACATAATCATGTATAAAATGAAGAGATGAATCACAAATTGCATATACAAAATTTGAAATCAGAAAACTAGACTAAAACCTATCATTTTAGCTTCTGCCAGTTGGAAATATCTGATAATCATTTCTTTTAAATAAAGTTTATTGATAGTTGGTATTTTTAACTGTGATAGTGCGATACCACCACCAGATAACACACCAAAGATATAAATTATGCTTGTTTTATTGTTTACCTTAGACTTCTTCTTCTTTTTTTTTTTTTTGTTAACCTTCACGCGAGGACATTTTTCCATTAATTTTTAGGGAGAGTGGAAGAGAGGGGGAAAGACAGAGAGAAACATCAGTGTGAGAGAAACACATTGATTGGTTGCCTCCTCCATGTGACCCGACCAGAGCCCGGGCCTTGAAGGAGCCTGCAACCAAGGTATGTGCCCTTGACTGGAATCGAACCTGGATCCCTTTGGTCCACAGGCCAACACTCTATCCACTGAGCCAAACCGGCTAGGGCTACCTTAGACTTCTTTAGGCATTTGATTTTATTTCTAATGCTTCCAAATAAAATCACAAATCAGTGATGAAAATATCCTAAAGTTGTGATAATGTTTGCATAACTCTAAATATATTAAAAACCATTGAATTGTACACTTTAAATGGGGGAATTGCATGGTTTGTGAATATCTTAATAAAACTCTTTTAAAAATAAGCTGAAGCAAATATGGCAAGAGATTGGCATTGCCTATATTTAGATGGCAGCTTTATTGGTTTCTATTATAGTTTACTATTTTTATGTATGGTTAAAATATTTTATAATAAAATTAAGTGTTTATTTAACAGAAGAAAATAAGACAGAGGATATGGGGGGAAATTCACAAATCAGAATTCATTAACCCAAACATCCCACTCTCTAAGCAGAAATGTATCTTTCTATTCGAGATAATAGTCCTTACAATTTATGTTAAAGCCTTCTTATTCTCTCTCTCTCTCTCTCTCTCGCTCTCACACACACACACACACACACACACACACACACACACACACAAATTTTAATGTATTTATAGTGATTTTAGGTGCCAGGTAGCATTTCATCATTATTGCCGAATAATAATTTTGAAAATGTGTGATTGTTGAAAATGTGTGATAGACTGGCTCACATGACACTTGTAATCAAGATCAGAAACATAAAGTAGCTGTAAGCAACAATATTTACTTTAAAATGTATTTTTTTTTCTTCCTTTCTGTACTCTAACCTTGTTCTTGTGTATATTTGTGACCATTCTATTTTGGTTTATGTGAAGAAACATTTTTTGTGAATGTATATTGATGTCATAGTTAACAAAATCTTTTAAGTCCTGTAGGTTTTAGAAAGGAACAAGTTCTTTTGCCATCTAAGTCTAAATGTGGTCAGAAATTAAACTTTTAATTTATTTTGCCATTTTTTGGAGCATATAAAAAAGCTTAAGAAGAAATCATTTCCCTATTTTATATGGAAAAGGAAAAAATATTTTTTGGAATCTGAAATTCAAATTAACCATCTTATATTTGTGAAATGGTTATGAGTTTAAGTATTTTATAAGTTAAAGTGTAAATAGCTGTGTAATAACTTAAACATTTGTAAATAATATGTTAGAGAATTACAGTTGTAATTTCCTAAGAAGAATGCAATTCATTCTTTTTCTTTCATTGAAAAAAAAATGAATTATAATTGCCACATTAGGAATCCTTTCTTTGGGAGAAACAATTATGAGTAATGACCAGAGGAATTTTTTTTAATATATTTTATTGATTTTTTACAGAGAGCAATGGAGAGGGATAGAGAGTTAGAAACATCAATGAGAGAGGAACATTGATGCCTCCTGCACACTCCCTACTGGGTATGTGCCCGCAACCAAGGTACATGCCCTTGACCGGAATCGAACCTGGGACCCTTGAGTCCACAGACCAATATTCTATCCACTGAGCCAAACCGGTTAGGGCCAGAGGAATTTTTACGATAAATTAATCTTGTAAAAGATTTCCTCCTCTTCCCCTCCTCCCACACGCTAAGTACCTACTTTGTATTACAGTTTCTACATTCGCTGCCCTTTTCTGTTTGTCTTTACTGCATCACAGTTTCTGGGGAAATCTTTGAGTATGTGTATTTTGAAAAATGTCCCAATGGATTTTGAAGAATCACTGGTATAAAATGAAAATGGAAATACTCAACCAATTTAAAATCTAGATATGTTTTTAGCATAATAGTAATACCTAAAATTTGTTAAATTTCTCAGTTATTTCCAAACTTTGTCTTATTTATTGAGTTGCACTAATATTTCATCTTTTCTCTAGTACCTAGCACCTGAAGTGATCAGAAAACAGCCCTATGACAATACTGTAGATTGGTGGTGCCTTGGTGCTGTACTGTATGAAATGCTGTATGGGTTGGTATGTATTTCTACTCTTTCATTATTTTCCCAATATATTATAATTGATTTGCATTTTCTCTTTTCTCTTTCTCTTTCAGTAATCTTGTGGACACTTAGATAACATTAATAGAGTAGTAGTAACATGGTAAAAATGAGTCCAAAACCATGTATGCACAAAAAGAAAAACTTACATTTTGTTAATAGTTTTTAAATGTGATTTTTCTGTCAGAGTAATTACTGTTTCAAGTATTCTCCTCCCTCTCTCATTTTGTTGAAATTGACACATAGTTGTAATATTAAAATTATCCACTTTTATTCAATTTACCCTAGTCATCATTCTGCCTAATTTCAAAAAGATGGAAAGAAAAAAAGATGTTTGTATTTATTAGAAGATAATGCCTTTTGGGTTTTCCTTTGTATTTTGTTTTTATAGGATTTAATTAATACACTGGTGCTCCACTTTTTCCATCACTGAGAACCATCTCTTCCATTCACCGTATATACCATGTCTTAAGATTTCATTTTTTTAAAAAAGGGATGTTTACTATGTAATGTTTCCCCAGCTAGAGCTTCTGATTAACATGAGTACGTTTGTTTTGCTACATTGAGTTAATACTCCAACCTAAAGCAAACAATTTAGGCATTTAAGTGGGTTTACATATCCTTGTAGCAATAATGTACGCTTTTATTTAGCCTTTTGAAACTAGTTGGAATCTTTTCTAGGCTCCCTTTGTGGTCCCATGGGTGTCCTGTGGCCTCAGGCTGGGAACCATCCACTCATCCCCCCTGGTACTGCCTCCACTAAGCTAAATAACACCATCATCTGAGACCTGAGCTGGGGCTTGTTATTTTGTTCTGCTTTTTATTTTGTATTTTCCCCACCACCCCACCCCCACCCCCCGAAAACTGGGGAGCTCTCAGTACATTTAGGAGCATTTTTCTCATGTTGCTAACTTTGAATGATAGATTCTCATGACCTCCAACACTGTCTCTTCTTTGCCCTTGACGAAGATCCACTTGTTAAAAGATCTAGTTTTCCGGTTATGCCAGTGACGTAGAACACCTCAAACCCACTTTATACCTTACTTTAAGTGTTGGATAGTTGCCATTAAGATATCTCTGAGTCCTTTTAATTTCTTCAGACGACTTTGAGAGCATAAAATATTATCATTGTGTATAAAATGCAGTTGATTCGAACGGGAACATTTGAAACATATACTGGTACTTCATTAATTAACTTATATTAACTATATTAAAATCAAGCTAGATTTTAAAAAGTAAAAAATAAAGTTTTTCTTCCTGCAGAGTACACCCATAATGCCACAGTACTTAGGAAGGAGCATGATCTTCAGGTCTTCATCTTTTCAGGCAATCTCTGTTTTAATTTATTTATTCCCAAGTCTCAAGAAATTATTTAATGTTGGATCTCTGTTTCCAATAATTCTATCATTATGCCCATGATGAGGTTGGTGGTGGTTTTCTTTAAAACAGATACTGTTGAAACTTTTATTCAATTGGCACCTGTGTTATTGAACAGACTGGCCCTAATTCATTCAGTGCACATGCATTAAGCCAGGGGTCCTCAAACTACGGCCCACGGGCCACATGCAAATACAAATATTGTATTTGTTCCTGTTTTGTTTTTTTACTTCAAAATAAGATATGTGCAGTGTGCATAGGAATTTGTTCATAGTTTTTTTAAAAAACTATAGTCCGGCCCTCCAACGGTCTGAGGGACAGTGAACTGGCCCCCAGTTTAAAAAGTTTGAGGACCCCTGCATTAAGCTCTCTGTGTGCTGGGTTTTAAAATCTCTTTGCATTAGAAGGCCACACTGCACCCAAAGACGCCTGTGTATTTCTTTTGTCCAGACCCAGTCTGCTCCCTATAGATGAAGGCCAAATCCAACTATTTTAACCCAAACATTTTGGCATAGTTCAGTTCACACTAACTTTATTTTACTTTTTTTCCCCCCCCAGCCTCCTTTTTATTGCCGAGATGTTGCTGAAATGTATGACAACATTCTGCACAAGCCCCTAAATCTGAGGCCAGGAGTGAGCCTCACAGCCTGGTCCATTCTGGAAGAACTCCTAGAAAAAGACAGGCAAAATCGGCTCGGTGCCAAAGAAGACTTTGTATGTATATCTCTCCCACTCTGTTTAAGCTTATTTATCCTTTGAAGATAAAGCCTTATTTTATGTGGTATTTGATGGGATGAATACAGCTCTTAAAGAAGAGCACCATGAAAACGCGTAACTTGTCCCAACAACTTTCACCAGTGTTTATACGTACAGAACTATACAGGGTTTGAGCACTTGCATCCTTTCAGTTGATCTCTGTAACAGTACCATCCTCTCCTCTTCGTCTGTCACGTCCAGCTTTCACACTTATTTTTTATTTGATTTTTATTTATTAAAATTTTTCTCCTAGCCCTTCTTTTTAAAAAATTTTTGATTACCTGAACTTTTAGATCATGTTGTTTAACAAGAATCTAAGTCCTTCCTGACCACATAAGGCGGTGCAATTTATCTTGAACCAACGTGAAATCACTTTTTCCCCCCTGAGAATTTGGTGATAACCTCCTTGAGATAGTTATGGAGTCTGTGGGTTTGGTTTTTGTTTTGTTTTTTTTTTAAGCAGGGTAATTAGATTGCTAGTGTAACTTTTATCTTAGTGTGTCAGTATTCAGGAACTGTTGAGGAATAAGAACTTTTAAGTTCATTTAAATTTCTCAGAAATTCTTTGGGGCTGTTGACCAGTTTGAACGTGAGCTGTGAATAACAAACTTGTCTGCTACTGACCTTCTCCTCCTACACGTCCCAGTTCGGCAGATGGCTCTGTCAACAGTTCTCTATCCAGCTTTGATTCCCGTCTGTTGTTTCAGTCAGTCTTGCTAATACTTCACACCTCCGTGCCCCGTGGTCCTTTTATTGAATTCAGAAATCGCAACCTGGATGAATTCAACTGTCATCTCTGGGCTGCTGTTCGTTGGTGGAGAAAGTTTCACAACTGGGCTAAACTTCCAATGTGTGTATGTGTGTGTGTGTGTCTAACAAGAAATCTTTGGACACCAGTAAGGTGACACAGTTTTTAAGTAAGTGTTTATAATGAGATGTTTATAGCCACTCACGAGGCCTTTTTGGTCTTCTGGGGAGGAGACGTGGAGGAGGAGACGTCTGTGATTCTAGCAGGAATTATTACACAACAAGATTTCAATGAGTGTTTAGAAAGAACCAAATAGGAGGAAGCACTTTGTGAGGTAAAACTGATCACACAAATGAAAACTTAATACAGCGGAGGGAAACTTGGTAAGTGTGTCTAAGTTAAGTGTTCTTCACTCTGAAGCATTTGCTACTGAAACCGGCGTTAACAGGAAAGAGTTCCTGGTACCAATTTTAAGGTGTGTGTATGTGGAGGCCTCCCCACAGCAACAAGCAATTCTCAGACGCCAGAATTGATAGTGTCCATCCTGACACTGTCTTCTCAGAGACAGAATCACATTCCATGAGTAAAGGGCTCACTCCCACAGGACAGCCCTCCATCTCAGATACCAGTCACAAGCCCAGGTTGTTACCTGTGCGTCCGACAGACGGCTATAAATCAGGGGTTCCCATGACCCCTCCTTTGGTTCAATTAATTTGCTAGAATGGCTTACTGAATTTAAGAAAACCCATGCACTTACTAGTTTACCGAATTATTATAAAAGGGATATGGCTTGTTTACCTCTTGAGCTTTACCTCCCGTGACCGTCCCATTTTTCCCTGTACTGCAACCATGCTGGACTCTCATTTTCTTGACCAAGCTAAGCTCTTTGCCACCGCAGGGCCTTCATATTCTACCCGCATTGTTCTCCCCTCATTCTTTTTTTTTAAATTTATTGGGGTGACATTGGTTAATAAGTGTACAGTTCTATAGTACATCATTTGTATATTGCACTGTATGCTCACCACCCAAAGTCTAGTCTTCCTCTATCACCATATATTTGACCCCTTTGTCCTCTTCCTCCTCCTACCCCCCATCACCTCTGGTAACCACCCTTCTGTTGTCTGCATCTGTGAGTTTGTTCATTTGTCGCCTTTTTGTTTTGTTTCCCACATACCTCATTCTTTAGCTAATTCTTACTCATCTTTCAGAATTCTGGTCAGACATCACTTTCTCTAAGAAATCTTTTTAAACCACCAAACTAGGTTGGATCCTACTTTATACACTTGTGTGGCACCCTACGGGGGAAAAAAGCTGGAATCAGTTCTTTGCCAACTTTTGATAGTAGCAACTCAGAGCGGAATACTTTAAATTTGTAGTAAATTTCATCATCTTGGTTTTACCTCTGTCCTACAGTGTAAAACTCCCTTGCTTAGCATCTTACTTACCTCCCCCATTCAGATAATAATAATTATTATTTGTACCTATGTAGTACTTTCATCTTTTTATACCATTCTTATTTTTATATTCTCCATTTGTCCTTAAAACAACCTGTTAAGTATCTAAGGCAGAAATGTCAACTCTGTTTTACCTATGAAGAAACTATGATAGTGAAGAGGATAAAGTGTGCCATGTGTACTTAGGTAGTCTTTCTGCTATACCACTTTGCCACATATATAACATAAACATGTATCTAAAAAAAAATTATTGAGGAACAAAATGGTAATGGTTTGGTTTCATAAAATTCTTCAGTGAGTACTTAATATATTCTTCAGCATTAGTTTAAAATGTATTTTTTTTCTTTAATATTCTAGCTTGAAATTCAGAATCATCCCTTTTTTGAATCACTCAGTTGGACGGACCTTGTACAAAAGAAGATTCCACCACCGTTTAATCCTAATGTGGTAAGTATATATCCAAGTCCTTCCTTCTAAACTAGTGAAATGTAGAACTGTAGCTCATCATAATTTTAGGAAAGATCTCAAAATCTAACCTTAGTGAAATTGAATCAGTACGTAAATATATGTGAAATATGTCACTTCAGGATGACCAGTAAGATTATAGTTTTTATTAGACTGATAAAAAAAATCTTTCAGTACAATAATTGTGAAGTATTTGTAGATGGACTTATTTCATTTAGCTCATTCAGGAGTGACTGTTTCAGACATGGCTCCATTAGGGACAATTTCTGCTCCTGATTTCTAGCGTTTGCAATAAGAACCTTGGATCTTTAAGAATAATTTAATTTTTCTCTTTAAATTAAGAGTCCACTGAGTTTAGTTATTTGCAAATAAATGTGTCATCCGATACATTAAAGAGTTAGGGATTCCTCCTAAGCAACCCTGGAAATGGCAACAGTGTTGACCTCAGAGTCAGACACCTCCAGGTTTGGATCCCTGCTTGTTCTATGACTAATTAATTAAACTTTTTAAAGCAAGACCCACAACTCGGAAGCCAGAAGAGAAAAATATTGGTAAATTTGACCACATAAAATTTAGAAATATTTGCATGAAAAAAAACTGCAAATAACAAACTGGGGGAAATTTACTTAGTACATTAAGCATTCTTATAAGTCAATGAGGGAAAAAAAAAAAAAGACCAAGCATGGACAAAGGACAATTTTGAAAAATAAATACAGGTATCTTTTAAATATATGAAAAGATGTTAAAGGAATGCAAAATAAAATCCTTACAGGTTTTTTTCACCTAATAGATTAACAAAGATCAAAAAGTTATCTATGCTAGAATAAGGTAGATATTCTCATTCACTGTTCTCAATACTTGTATTCTTTTACTTCACCCTGACAACAATCCTATGAAATAGTACTGTTATTTTACTCCATACTTCTGATGAGTGAACTTAAGCACAGAAAAGGTTAAGTAAGTTGTCCACAGTTTAATTAAAGTTGCAGAACTGGAGTTTGAAGACAGAGCCTTCCCTCACTCTTAACATAAGAAATACGGTATTTGCCAAAACCGGTTTGGCTCAGTGGATAGAGTGTCGGCCTGCGGACTGAAAGGTCCCAGGTTCGATCCCGGTCAAGGGCATGTACCTGGGTTGCGGGCACATCCCCAATGGGAGATGTGCAGGAGGCAGCTGATCGATGTTTCTCTCTCATCGATGTTTCTAACTCTCTATCTCTCTCCCTTCCTCTCTGTAAAAAATCAATAAAATATATTTTTAAAAAAAAATTCTAAACAAAAAAGAAATACGGTATTGTCCCTGACAGTACTAGCCATGAGCCATAAGGGCCTTCTCAAAATATTTATAAAGTCAGGCAAGAGAACATTTATTGAGCACCTTCTACATGTCAGATTCTGCGAATTTTATGTATTAATGCATCAAATCCTTACAAGTTTAACAGACAGGTGGCAGGATTCTTATTTTACACAAGAGGAGGCAAGCTTTCCTCTTACAGAAAAGATAGGGTAGGTTATATAAAGAATTCTAGCTAGCAAAACTCATAGCCAGAATTCAAACCTTAGTTTTATTTCAGAACCCCTGCTTTCTAAGGTTGTATGTAAGAATTTGGTGACATTTTATATATATATATATATATATATATATATATATATATATATATATATATATATATATATATATATATAATTTCTAGTGTCTATTTTCCTCTGTGGTGGAATTTCTCATGTAGAAGGATAGAGCATTCTGGGTTTTCCTGGCTTCTTCTCTGCTGTTTGTAGACCTACCAGGCTAACTATATCCTTAGCTTATAATAACTGCTCTGACTCTCTATCTGTTCACCTCGATTAGACTTGATGAATTGAACTTTTTTAAAATATATATATAATTTTATTGATTTTAGAGAGAAAGGGAGAGGAGGAGAGAGAGATAGAAACATCAATGATGAGAATCATTGATTGACTGCCTTCTGCATGCCCCCTACTGGGGATCGAGCTTGCAACCTGGGCATGTGCCTTTGACCAGAATCGAACCCAGGACCCTCAGGCTGATGCTCTATCCACTGAGCCAAACCGGCTACGGCGTGAATTGAACATTTTAAAGCTTCCCTTTCTCTTAGAGCAGAGCTAACTAGAGTTTCAGGGATGGGCTTTAACGGTGAATCACCTTAATTTGCAACCCGATTTTATCGGTACATACATTGGAAGGGGATAGGCCATTCACTTGTGAAAGAAGATTAAGAACCATTGCCTTTGAGCCTAAGCAGACACCGTGCTTCGTGCTTCGTTTTCTAGTTTCCTGGTCCCTTTAGGGCTTTGGAGCTAAGGGTCTCATCACTGAATGCTTAGCGACCTCTGTGGCACAAGAGTCACCTTTCACAGTTTTACTTACAGCCCCTCCATTCCTTCATCAAAAGGCTTCATTTGCCCTAGCCGGTTTTGCTCAGTGGATAGAGCATCGGCCTGTGAACTGAAAGGTGCTGGGTTCGATTCCAGTCAAGGGCACATGCCTGGGTTGTGGGCTCAATCCCCTGTGGGGGGCTTGCAGGAGGCGGCCGATCAATGATTCTCTCTCATCATTGATGTTTCTATCTCTCTCTCCCTCTTCCTTCCTCTCTGAAATCAATATATATATATATATATATATATTTTTTTTTTTTTTTAAAGGCTTCATTTATCCAAAGTTGAGAAACTGGATGGGCAGGCACTTCATGGGAGCTCAAATGCAAAATGCTGTTCTGAAAACCTACCTGAACCCTTTTTCTAAACTTACAGGTGATGAGTAGAGAGCAGGGGGGTCGTTTGCAGGGACTGAGATTTATATTAACATTGGTAAGGACTCTGATGCTAGCTCTCCTTACCCTTCTCTCTCCTCCCCCCACCCAACAACAAGTACCTTACCTGTTAGAAGGACCTCACCTCGGTAATAAAAGCAGAAAATGTTCCAAAGCAGTGATGAAATAAGAAGACAGCTGAACTTGCCAGGAATCAATATACACATCCATGAAGGGTTTAATGAAGAACTAAATTCATGAAAAAGCTAAGGTGAATAATAGTATTTTTTTTTTTTTGGTGTTTTAGGCAGGACCAGATGATATTAGGAACTTTGATGCAGCGTTTACGGAAGAAACAGTTCCATATTCTGTGTGTGTGTCTACTGACTATTCGATAGTAAACGCCAGCGTACTGGAGGCTGATGATGCATTCGTTGGTTTCTCTTATGCACCTCCTTCAGAAGACTTATTCTTGTGAACATTTTGCCATCCGGGAACCATTGAGCAAATATAAACCTATGTACAGACGAGACTGAAATTCCTGTTTGTGTGAATATATTCAAATATGTTTAGTGCCTCTTTTTTACATATAATGTTAACAACTATGAAAAATGTATTTTCTGCTGTATGTAAGAAAATAGTGCATTTCAAAGAGCTAACTTTGGAATTAAAATTTGTATTCTTGTTTATTAAGCTTATTTTTAAACAGAAATTTTAAAAGCTATTGTTCTTAGCATTAACCTATTTTTAAAGAAAACTTTTTTGCTGATGACTGTTTTTTTCCCAAGTTTACACTAACACCTACCCAAGATAGACTGTTTTTCAACAGCCTATTTCAGTTCAGTTAACATATATTAATGCCTTTGTAACTCTACTTTGATCTTTGTTCTCAGATCAGAACTATGCAATTTGTATGTGGTTGTTTAAGAAGAAACCATATCTGTCCATAATAAATCTCTGCTTGCCATAATCAGTCTTGGTAGGATTAAAGTGTAAAAGCATAGTTAACACATTGGCTGCTAATTAACACTTTGAGTAACTGTTCATTCTGCAGGTCAAATTAAAAAGTAACAAAAGGAGGCCCTGGCTGGGTAGCTCAGTTGGGTAGGGCATTGTCCTGATACCCCAAGGTTGTGGGTTCGATCCCCTTCAGGGAATAATAAGAATCAACCAATGAATACATAAAAAAGTGGATCAACAAGTCTCTCCCTCTCTCTCTCTCTCTCTCTCTTTCTCAAATCAATAAAAAGGAAATCCTTTGCTTTTGAAATACCAATTTAAATTCATGAATTATTTTTCTTCTGGAGTAAAAGTAAATATTTAATAGTTGACATTTTAAATATTCCCAAACATCTGAAGAGTAATAAAGTACTGCTGGATTTTTTTTTTTAGGTGGTGCCAAAATGAATGTATCTGTGTCATGTATTTATATTACAAATACATTCTATTTATGTTCTTTTGGGCCTTTTGAATGTTTAATATACTGTTAAGTAGGTCTAAAACTTGGTATTTAGTTTTGCAAATAGCTTTTCAAAACTGTCTCCCTAATTGGTTGTTAAGTGAAAAATATTGAGCTTTCTAGAATATTTACTTAATTGGGAATTAAAAAGTAGAATAGCAAATTTGGGATTAATATAAATGTGCACAGTTTTACTATAGTGTAACAGAAGTTAAAAATAATTCAGATAGATGCCTAGCATCTTATGTATCTTAGAAAATGTATGGGAAATTGACCTTAAAGTCATACTAAAAACCAACTAACCTCTGTACTTGTAATTGTAAAAGAATGCTTATCTTGGAATTCTGATTTTTAGTTTAGAGATTTTGTAAGTCATGTAGGAAACATTGTGAAAGAATTTAGTGACCCAGTTTAGATGCTTCAAGAACAAGCATTCTTTCCATGTGTTTTCTCTTGAGAAAGAAATCACAAAAGCATTTCACACCAATACCCTTTGGTTTACAAATGTTCAGCAGAATGGGGGGAAGGGCGTGTGCTTTTCTTAGATTAATAATATTTGCATTCAATACACTGAATCTTCCTTTAGAAGTAAGACTTTAATAGCAACACTGTAAATATTTGTTTTATTTGGTACTACTGTAAGTTCTCCTTTTATACAAAGCTCTTTGCTTATAAAGCAAAATAAAGACTAGTTTCTTGTATGATTTTTTACTCAGCCACTCCTTAATTAAACTGCCAAAAATTCAAGTGCAATATTGTATATTTTTAAGAACAAATTTAAAATAGAATGTTGCTGTTTTTTGGATCTCAAAAAAAATATAAATCTTACAGAGTGTAATAAAACTAGCAAAAAGATTCATGATCATCTAATGCCTGTCATTATTTTAAATTAAAGTTGGTGATAGTTACAGTATCATTACAAAATGAATTACATATATATATATATATATATATATATATATATATATATATATATGGAAGACAAGTAAAATTTTACCTAAATAGTTGGACATGTAAAAATTACTAGATTATTCCATATCCCAAGGTGGTAATTCTTTTATTTGAATCCCTAAAGTGTACGCAGGTGAGTCTCAGGTGGCTATACCTTAGAGTGATATGCCAAGTTTTGTGTGTAAATGAAATCCACTTAGGGCAGGGATTGCTATATGGCTTTGTTTGGATGCTCAAAAGGATTCACTGCTATAACATGATAGGCTTCCTTCGCTGTTTTGTTCTTCTTTACTCACCTGATACTAAGAGAAATTGCTCTCCAACTTCCCTGAAAGCATTTCAGTTGGAAATTTGTGTCATTTACTAATATTTAGCTTTTTTGTGTCTTAACCAATATTGTATAATCCATTTGTAATGCTTTAAACATATTCCTCAGTAGGTGAAAGGTTTCCTACACAAAAATACTTCTCATTTTACTATTTCTTTACACTGATTTTTGCGGAGATAATTAAGTCAGAAAGAAATATAGCTGTCTTAAAATGTTACGTTTTAGGTATTCAAAGTCAAAATAGTGGAGAATAATTTAAAGCGATGTTACACAAAGAACAAAGCCAATAGAGAAGTATAAGCTCAGCATGATATAGCAATAAAATAGGCAACCAAAGGGTCCTATACAAAAAAGTTATTCACATAATGTCTTGATAATGATGGGTCACCATATGAATCTTGAGGATTAGTGTAAAACAGAATAACATCACTCTACATGACCCCACTTATTGGAAGAACCAGACACGGTGATTTTAGAAACCTTGCATGCAAACATGACTTGGGAGTTTTTGTGGTAAATTCTCCTTTGCAGGAATATATATCATGGATTCATCATTTCTTCTAATGTATTTTCATAATATTTTTAATTAGGGGACAGAGATTTCCCCTTCAATATTAGTTAAATCTTTGTGAGAAAGTCTATAATGAGTTGTCAGTATTTAAGTGTTTTTATGTTTGTATTAACTCATGGAATCCAGAGACTTATATACAGAAAAACACCCACTCACATGGTCAAATTCGATCGTGTTGGATTTGTTGGGTCTTCCCAGATGGTAGGTATAGCCTTGCAGTGTTGAATTTTTTTCTTCTGCCTCAATGATAGTAATAGTGCAACAAGAACAGTTTACTTTGTTTACTGATGCAGTGATGCTGAATGCTAGCAATGTATTTAGTAAGATATCCTCTAGCAGTGTGCCTCAATCAGATATCAAAAATTAGATATCAAAAGCAAATAAACTGTTCTTGTTTGCAGATGAGTATCTTTGTAGAAAATCCAATAGAACTTTAAAAAGTTCTGGAATTAAGTGATTACAAGATTACATCATATAAGGTTAATATACAAAAATCACTTTTCTTATATGCCAGCAATTTGAAATTAAAAACACCATTTACATTAGCACCCCCCCAAAGGTATAAATCCTAATAAAATATGTGTAAGATCTATATGAGGAAAACTACCTTCTCTCTGACAAATTTGCCTATTCTTGACATTTCATATAAACAATCACAATATTTGGCTTTTTGTGTCTGGCTTCTTTCGCTTTGCATAGTGTTTTCAAGGCTCATCCATGTTGTAGCACGTATAAGTACCTCATCCCTTTTTATGGCCAATTGACTCCATCCACACTTCATCCACTTTTTTACTATTAATAATCCAATGGACATTCTTGCATAAATTTTTGTGTGTTTCAAATTCTTTCATATCTATGTATATGTATAATATGTGGCTTGGGATTGTTGGGTCACCTAGTAGCTCTATGTTTAGTCTTTTAAGGCAGCCCCCGGAATGTTTTCCAAATTGTCTGCACCATTTTGCATCCCGCTAGGAAAGTTTTTATTATTTTCAACAAACATGGGCACCGCTGGCCTGTGATAAAACGACCACCAGTGGTTTCTATCTTTTCTGATTTGCTTTGCTTTGCAGGGAGAGAGGGGGCGTGACTGGAGGGGCGAAGCGCCCGTGGGCCCGGTTGCCCTGGTGACAGGGAGGCGCTGTCCCGGCAGCCCCCGCGCCGCCGCCAACGGACGGAAGCTGCGCGCTTGCGCGCTCGGGCTTCCCTGGGTGGCCGGCTCGGGCGGCGCGCGGCTGGCGGAGGTCTGTGGGCGCAGGAGCGGGGGTCCCGCGTTGCTGGGCTGGGGCCCGCGGTCCGGAGGGGGGCGCTGTGCGTGGGCGGGGCCCTGGACCCCGGGTGCGGGGCCGGAGTCGCTTCGGCGGCGTTGGTTGTGAGGTGATTTCCTGCTGGCGCGGCCCGGAGCGAACACCCGCTCAGGTTCCGAGGGAACCGGCGCTTGGGTTCTTTAGACTGTGAGGCGGCGGCTGGAATTTGATCCGCGTTCGCCTCATCAGTGCTTTCCGCGTCTTTTTCTCCACTTTCCCCACCCCCGCCCCGGACCTCTGCTTTCCCCGGGGTTTAAGCTACTGAGTCCGGCCGGAGTCACCGCGTCCTGGTGCTGGTCTGGGTGCCTGTCTCCGATGAACTGGAACATTCCCCTCCTCTTCTCCGGGTTCGGTGTTTGGGTGTGGAAAATCCACGCGCGGGCTGGTCACCGGGTCCGGCGTGAAATGATCAAAGTCTGGAATCCATCTCCTCTGCGCCAGCTCCTTTCTGATGCCCCAGATCGGACCGCTGACCATCTGTCAGGACGGTTTCAATGGCTGGAAACTGTGGACTCTTCCTCTGTTCCAGCCCATTTCCCCCACGGACAGCGGGCACTGGCTCCCAAAATAACCTGCCCTATCACTTGTTGAAAACGTCCCTGGCTTTTCATCGCCTGTGTAATGACCACGGGCTTCAGAAGCTTTCATACTCTGGTTGGGGCTCACCCAATCATTTCATTAGCGTCTAGAGCAGTGGTTCTCAACCTGTGGGTCGCGACCCCTTCGGGGGTTCCACGACCCTTTCACAGGGGTCGCCTAAGACCATCAGAAAACACATGTATAATTACATATTGTTTTTGTGATTAATCACTATGCTTTAATTATGTTCAGTTTGTAACAATGAAAATACATCCTGCATATCAGATATTTACATTACGATTCATAACAGTAGCAAAATTACAGTTATGAAGTAGCAACGAAAATAATTTTATGGTTGGGGGTCACCACAACATGAGGAACTGTATTAAAGGGTCGCGGCATGAGGAAGGTTGAGAACCACTGGTCTAGAGGCCCGGTGCACAAAATTTGTGCAATGGAGAGGGGAGGTCCCTCAGTGTGAGAGGGTGCAGGCTAGGCCGAGGGACCCCACCAGTGCAGGATCAGGGATGCGGGAGGTTGGCCAGCCAGGGAGGGACCGCAGGAGGACTCCAGAGCGTGTCCAGCCCATCTTGTTCAGTCCCCATCAGCTGGACCCCAGCAGCAAGCTAACCTACCGGTTGGTGCATCTGTCCCCTGGTGGTCAGTGCAGGTCATAGCCAGTGATTGGGTGGCCTTAGCATGTCATTAGCATATTATGCTTTGATTGGTTGAACGGACGACCAGACACTTAGCATATTAGGCTTTTATTATATAGGACTAGAGGCCCGGTGCACGAAATTTGTGCAAGGGGCTCGGCCCTCGCAGCCCCGGCTTCGTCCAGAAGGTCGTCTGGATAGTTGTTTTGCTGTTTGGCCGTTCGATCAATTTGCATATCATGCTTTTATGATTATAGATAGCCTCCCTTCTTTCAGCCCCAGAAATCTTATGTCCTAATGAAGCACACATGTATTGCCCTGAACACAGCATACGCTTTAAGATATATTATAGGAACTATGGCCACAGAGAAATGGACTCTGAAGTTTCCCCCTACGTAATAGCGGAAAGGACAGTCTCAGTTACTTTTCTTTGAAAAGTGGCCTAAACTCCAAGTAGTAGGTCTAAAAACATCTTTTACTCATTTGTATCCCCAGTGCCTAGGACAGTCTGGTATCCAATAAATAGCAAATGCCCAATACGTATTTAATATTGAATAAATGTGATGGTCATTATTTCTGACTTCTCTAAATTGACAACAACTTGAACACAGGATCCACTCTTAATCACCTAACACAAGTATTGACAGATATTGTTTCCAATTATGTTTGCTGTTCTTTAAATGAATTTTACATACTCCACTCTTGTTACTATGATTTAATGTTTTATGTTGGTCAGTATTGAAGATTTAAAGCCAGAAGAAGTTTTATCATCTGATACAACTCTTTCATTTTGATTTTCCCCTAGCAGCCTGGAAATGCTGGGTCTAGTACCAAGTTCTCAGATTTTGTAGGTTAACTACACTTTGTAACTTAGATTGAATTTATGGAATAACTTTTGCCACTTTCATTTTTTTTTTTAAACAACACCTTCAAGAGAACCTCATCATCTAATACTTATTTCAGGCAGCATTTTTTGAATACCTACTTTGTAAAGAGACGTTTGAAGAAAGAAATAATTAAGTTTGTAAGAAATAATTAAGTTTGCAATCTTGTAGAGACCCTTATAACGTAGTGTTGATAAACATGTGATTTGGCAAAAGAAAACACAGTTTTGTTTCCCTTTGGATAGGGATTTCTTAAAGTTGGAAATTTTATGTTGTTTTATCTCACTGTCAATTTTAAGTTGCATAGCTTGTAAAGTTTTATTAGAGGTCTTCAATGTACATTTTAATTAATTTTATTTCTAGGTGTTCTCATCTGTAGTCTTTACCAGCCATTGTGGTTTAATCAATTAGTAACAGAGAAGAATCAT